GGTGCCTCTCGGTGCTGCCTCACGATCTTGTCCTATGCTATAATTGATGTATACTGCAGCTACAAAAGACGATCGTGGAGACAATCGTCTGGGATCCCTTCAAACACGCATTTAAATGGGACAACCAAGGTTGAATACACACAGCTCGTCGGACAAGCTCATGGCACCGAACCTGACGGTTCTAAGTAACGACTTATTGCTGTTGGCCGTACGTGTGAAACTATGTGAGGTTCGAAAAGCTCAAGTGATTATTGGAATTGACGTCGGAAAGTTCGATACAATTTCAATCAACACACCGTTGAAGCCCGTGTCATGCATTTCCAGTGGACCGAATATGTATGCTGGCTCTCCATGAAAGTACTACGTGACCTGAAAGGCACGCTATGTAGGCCCAACCCAATACCCTTTGATAGGTCATTCACGTTTTATAGGTTGAACAAGTAATTGGACAAAAGCCAATGGCCCATGCAAAAATATAGAGCATTGACAAGTTTACCCTTATTGTGCCTCATTATTATTGTCATCGTTTGCTGCAACTATTCGTCGTGGATACAGAAGTCAGGTTGGTGACGGCAGCTGTTTGAGCCGGCTTCTGTGGAGGCCACGGTACGGTGGCTGGCGATATGCTGTGTTCTGAAGGCCCCGTCGGCGAGCGTGGCGATGGCGGAGTTCACGGTCCACCGACGTACCGTTGGTCCGCCATGACCGACGAACCGGCTGTGTTGCCACCTGTAACCTCGCCATAGTGCCTGTGAATCTGTGTTGCCTGCGGATGGGTCAGTTCTTAGCGTGACTGCGGGCCTCCTGGTTTTCGGCCACAGTGATGTCCAGTCGGAGGAGAAGAGGTGGCGTCTTCTGTAAGTCTGATGCACTATGTCGTTCTCTCTCTGCAGCCGACGAAGAAGCAGAAGCTGTTCTTGATGCTGTGGTGCCCGGACGATGCCAAGATCAAGGCGAAGATGCTGTACTCGTCCAGTTTTGACGCTCTGAAGAAGGCGCTAACGGGCGTGGCCAAATACGTGGAGGTGAGTTTGACCGGGCTGGACGCGGCCGGTCGCCGCGTGGGATGCTGGTGGCCTGGTGTGCCGATCTCAGGCGCGGCTGGCGTGGTCGTCGTAGCAAATGCGATCATGTCAAGACTTGCTAACCGCGTCAAGTAATTCATAATATGAAAACGATCATATGATTATCATGATTATACTCATCAACATCGTAAGCAACTATTATCATTTACGTCAAATAATAATGTTGGCCGCATTTGATTTCTGGTTTTGCATTAATACCGTGCTATAATAGGAAGGCGGGTGTATCTATGTCCCTATAGTATCCGCCACCCCGCCTGGTGCAGTGGGATGGATGGAAAAAGATAACCGTCGTTAAGCTGGATGTGTGGTATGTGGGCCATCGGTCCATGTCATGGGACGTGAGGGTCATGCGCGCCCCAGTTTGACCTGCTCAGTGCGATGAGAGCAACACTTCCGTGTATCAGAACAGCGCGCCGTGTTCACAGGCCACGGACTCGTCCGAGATCTCCCGCGAGGAGGTGGAGAACAAGCTGAGGCAAAACGACCGCATGTAGGCGGCGCGCGCCTCGCCGCCGACGCCGGGCCGGGCCGGGCCGGGCCGGACTGGACCAGGTGGCGGGCGACGGCCGGCCCTCATTCCCGCTCTTCCAGACCGGAGGACGACCACCGGGCCGCGCCGCGTCCGTCCGCCGCTGCATAGCCGCGTGGCTCGCACGCAAATTCCGCCGCGAGTGACCGGAGGTGCTCTCCGGCGCATTTAGGCCGCTTGGCTTCGAGATCAGTAGGGCGGGGTCGGGTGAGGCGGTACCACGCGGGCCTGCTTGAGTGTGGGAGGGATGGCAGAGCCACGTGCGCGCATTTACTGTGACGATTTTTCTATTTTCAATTGTATTAATCAACCATGCGAGTCGAATAAACACTTTTTGCGTCGTGAGTGTATCGGTGGTGGTGCCCCGCGCTGCGCAGTTCTGAGCGAGGATGTCTGTCGGCACGGTATCGCGACCTGTCACGGCCGACTAGATTTGCGCGTCTTCTCCAGTCTGTTTAACCTCGGGAGCTGGGCGCCTGTATCCCCTCAGCAATCGGCTGATCGAAAGGCAGCAATCGGACTTGGTCCCTGTCATTGCCGGCGTTGACCGTGCCGTAAATCTACATCACTAGATCGGACACGGCAGCTGATGGGCCCATTCGCCAAGTCCAGCGGCGAACTCATCTAGCGTGACACGTTCATGTGCAGATGGCTGTTACAGAGCGAAATGAAAGCATGCATGCTGTGGGAGAACAGCCGCATCTGAACGTCGGTACGGGAGTCCCATCAGTTTTGAGCCCCGCTGTCTGCATTATATGACAAGGAAGATGAATTGAGTACATAGCTATGCAGCACACTAACATGTTTCCAGCGATTCTCCTGACGCCTCTTTGCCAGCTGCTGGACATTTGCTCAGCAAATTTATACGTTTGTCACTGGGAAGTGGGAACACAAATTTATGACCATGAATCTGCTCTCACCCTAGCAGGAAGGGCGGGCACCACGGGAAACTGAGCCCCGTACCTCTAGTTCTCCAGACGTACACCGGTACCATCTGGGGAAATCCCGAGGTGCGGGGAGCTGAGCCCGTACCTCTGGTTCTCCAGACGTACACCGGTACCATCTGGGGAAATGCCGAGGTACGGGGAACTGGGCCCTGTACCTCTGGTTCTCCGGAGATACACCGGTACCATCTGGGGAAATGCCGAGGTACGGGGAACTGCGCCCTGTACCTCTGGTTCTCCAGACGTACACCGGTACCATCTGGGGAAATCCCGAGGTGCGGGGAGCTGAGCCCGTACATCTGGTTCTCCAGACGTACACCGGTACCATCCGGGGAAATGCCGAGGTGAACACAATTCGGAGCATCAAACGAGGCATTCTGTCCAGCCGATTATTGGAATGCCGACGTCGGTATTAAAGCGTCGGAAAACATTGAAATGTTTTCTAACGGCATAAAGCTTCGCCTACTGAGAGCGTTCTCCAGCCTTAACTGCACCAAAATGTATGTAGTGGTCTCGGCAATGCAGGCAGCATCAGAGCCGTGCGCATCAGTAACGCATCGTAGTGGCATGATCTTCACGTGGTGGCATTCGCCGGTAGCTTGTGGAAGCCCCCTTCGCCGTCATCTGTTCTGACTAGTTGAGAGAGCCGTTTTTTGTGAGGCCATGTACCAACGTCTCTTTACTATGGATGGCCGATTCGTGCAATATGCAAGACAATCGGAAAAACACCCACCTTAACCTAAATTGCCTTGGACCGTTTGCTTTGCAGAAAACTTTCAATGTCTGGAGGGGGAGAACCGGTAGTGCACTGGTTAAGCAACACCTCCGGGGAACCAGACGTAGGGGGTTCCATTCCCTGTCAGGACAGGAAGAAGCAGGAGACGCCACAAATCCCTGCCGCTTAGTGCTTCCTAAAGCCACAATGGTAATGACGCGTATTCCCCAGCTGCCGGCGTGCGTTCATGGGACGCTGACGTCTGGACGTCGACGTCGTCTCTCACTGTTCGCACGCGGCACCGCCCGGCACGCGCCCTACGAGCGCGAAAAGGACCGACGCTGTGCCGGCGCGCGGTCAGTGTTGGGCTCCAATAACAGCTCGCTCGCCGAACACCGCGTCCGATTACGGAATGCCGGGTGCGGTCATGGGGCCGTATGCTGCCTGTGTGGATGACGGAGTCGTGACCGGGTTTCGTGACGGCTCGGACGGCAGCGATGATCTCATTTGTTTTTTGCTGCGGCTGGTGCATCGACCGACCACAGACAGTGCCAGGGCAACGCACGGTGGACGGGCGGTGGCGAGAGGGGGGGGGGGAGGGGGCATTCCCAGGTACGTCTCCAGGATTTCGCAAGGGGACGCCCCCCCCCCCCCGTCTGGGGCTCCTCAGTGGGACTGGCCCCCGGCCTCGTGATTTGTCCCTTCCCGTGCCCCACGTAGGGCCCAGAGGGACCATGCCGCCAAATACACATTTGGAATCCGCGCCCGGACACTCACTCATCTTGTGGACGTGACATGAATTCCACAATGCAGTACGGGTGCCGACTTCAAAGGGCCTTGGCCCACCGCTTGCCCTGGCGTGCCGGGGCCTCCGGGATTGCCCCTAGGCTATTCCGCTGCACCCGGGACGTCCCGCCCTGGCGACATCACCCCCTGCTCTGTCCGGTGCACGGCCGGTGCGGTCTGTACCAGTTGCAGTTGGAATCGATCGGTTCGGCATGGATGCGCGGGGGCTCGGCAGCTGTTGTAAACGCGGACGGAGGAAGCAGAGCGGCGCAGCGCAATGCCATTCTCAGCGATTTGTAGTCCATTCTGCCTTGCCAAGATAGCAGTTTTTCCACATCGTACCGGGAGTGTTTCAACGAGCATCGACGGCGGGCTGAGAGTAATCCCGTGCCGGAGACGGTCGACCTCCAATCAAATTACCCATTTAGGAGGCGGTGGAGATGAAGGCGGCCCGCTCGACACCGACGTGCGGGCGTAGGTGAGGATATTCGAATCGCTGGCGGAAGCTGGTGCCGCGCCCATTGTGACGCACCGCCCGATTACAACACCCCTCTGAGCGCGTCCGTCTACACCCCTCGCATTAGCCTCGAAGTACTCTCAGTGAAGAATAAATAATCTTCCTGTTTGAGAATGATGAAAGCCTCGGAGCAGACATCTCTGCTCGTCTCGGCGATCTGGACCGCCCTATTTCGAAATTGGTTTGTTGCGTCAGTTACTTCTTGGTCATGGCGCACCGAGGGCTGGCTCCGTTTTTCTATGTAGCCCGTAGGACCATCCCCCGTGACCTGGCTAACAGCTTACAAACGTGGTGCTCAACTCCCTTCAGCGTCCAGTTTCTCCCACCAAACGGCGACTGGCGCTTCAGCACACCATAACCTTCCACTTCACCAGGACCTGGGCTGCTCTCGCATACCTGAGCCACCGCCAAAACCATCGCATTATCAGGTGACAGCTATTTATTTTGTACAAAACCTATTATTTAGGGTGAAGACGCCTCTCCGGTCCGAGACCCGGTGAAAGAAAACATATGGGACACGTATCTTTGGGGGGCCGGGAGGCGCGGCCCAGCCGACGGCCGCGCCGCCAGCCTCACGCACAGACAGACAGCCGGACAGACGGACAGACAGACAGGCGGGCAGGCAGGCGGCGGACAGCGGCGCGGTGCGCCCCCGACAACGACAACGCAACAAGCTACACCTCTGGGCCGCACGCACACTGGAAAGATGAATCCTAAAAATACCTAACAAAGCGACGCTGAAATAATCCACTAGTGTAAAATCACAGAGTGGCCGGGCCGCCGGGGCATGTCTGGAACGACACGGTAGACCCCGCGCGGGTGGCGGCCGCGCGTGCAATGAGACCTCTCACTCGTCCGACACACGTATTAAGTTAGGCGACCGACCGCGGACGGCTGCGGCGGCGGCGGCGGCTCAGTCTTGCATCTCCTCGCCGACCTCGTGCGGGTTGAGGATGCCCGGCACGGCCGCCTGCTGCTTGCGCTTCTCCTCGTGCGCTCGCCGCAGCGCCGCCTCCCTGTCGTCCAGGTACAGGTCGGCGTCGTCGCCGGTGAACTCCTGCCGGTGGCGCCGCAGGGGGGCGTCAGCACGCTAAAGGCCCTCCAGCCTACATCGCAGCTGCCGGCGGCTCACCCACCAGCACGCAACACGGCACACAGTTGTGATTGCAGACCCGTCGATTCACCTGCATGGTGTTGGCACTTCAATCGGACCGGCACGAATCACCACGTCGGATCACACCGTGAGACGCAAGCATTGTGAGTACAACTTCAAGGAAGCACTCAAGTACAACTTCAGGACGGCCGCCCAAGTAAGACTCAGCTCTACGTGCAAGAGTGTTCAAGAGTGGTGAAAGATCAGGCGACAGACCTGGCCGGGTTCAGGCCAGACCGCCTACCTTGATCTGGACGAGGAAGTCACGGATGTGCTCCTTAAACGCGCTCAGGTCCTGATTGAGATCGAACAGCCCCTGGACGGTGATCTTGATCTGGTTGTCGGTGAAGTGCGGGAAGCCGGCCTTCAGCAGGTTGGCGACGAACTCCTTGACGAACACGATGTTGGCGGCCGTGACGGCCTGCGCGTCGCCGGCGGCCGGCACCGCGCTGTTCAGCATCGTCGTCACCTGCGCCCAGACGAGCCGGCGTCAGGACTCCCAGCCAAAAGCTGTGATGGTGATCACGATTTGGACGCAAGGGCGCGTCGAACGCCCCGGTCGCATGGCGTCCATAAGCAACAACTGTGTTGCCACGGCACGTAGCAAACACATGGCACCAGGCACCGTGCAAGCGTTTGGTTTCGTCATGCCAGCGGACAGGTAAGAACATCGCCACAGCAGACCTATGACTCGGCCCTGTTTTCAGCGCGTACGACAGAGGG